GGACACCTGTGTTAAAAAAGCAAGTATGATCTCTCAGCAGTATTTACAACAAAGCTGGGCAGCTTATAGTCAATAATTCTGGGCAATAATCTCCATGGCTCCCTCACCAACATAACTAATGGCAAGGAATGAGCTAAATTGCAGGCCAGAGCGTGTGGCTTAAAATTCCCTAATCTAGGACAACAGGTGGAATAATCTGTACTGCTTGGGCTATGCTCTCGGGTGAAGCACAGCGAAGCAGGAGCTGTGCAAACCCTGAGCGGTGCAGAACGGGAGAGTGGGAGCAAGACTGCCTGCAGCTCCTCCTGCTGGCTTTAAAGGGCCGATAGGGCAGCCCTGGACCTGCTGAGCACGTTCTTGCTGTGCCAGGCCTATTTTTCACCGCCTAGAGCTGTTCCACCATAAGTCAGTCTAGTACAGCATTGTGCAGTCAGTGTAGTAAGGAACGGAAGTGTAAGGAACCTCCATAGCTTTTGCATCACTTGATAGATGCAGCTTTAACTGCAGATGCTCAGCGAGAGAAGTGGCCATGTGAGGGAGTTCTGTTTGTCTTTTTAGCTTGAATTGTGCCAAATTCTGGGGTAGTGTTACAACAGGTAGGATATAAAAGAGGCTCCGCCAAGTCAGAACAAACTCCTGTCTGAGTCTGTTGGCTAGATGCCCGTGTTAAGCCCTCAAGTAGCATGTTCGGGCAAGAGCACTTCTTACGCAAGTCCCCCAGCGAAGGCGCACTGCCTCGGTGCTGGCCATACTCTGCTCTGCAGCCATCAGGACCAGCAGCATGGATAGCCTTCTCCACAAATTGCTCCATTTCCCTTCTAAAGCCTTCGACATGGGTGGCCACTGCTGCATCCTGTGATAGTGAACACCATAGTCCAGCTATATGTAATTTGTGACAAACTTCCTTTTACCTCTCCTGAACCTCCAACTATTCTGCTTCATGGGATGAACTTTCTGCAGGCAAGCCACCATTCTTCACCGTTTTTCTAACACAAAGAATGCCAAAGATTGTACTTCAGCAACTGGATTGTTTGGGTTGCCTTCTGCACCTTCTGCAACTCTAGAACAGCCTTTTTAGGTAATGTGTGACTCTTCAAACAAACAAACAAAAAATCTGTTTATCCTGCCTATCCAATTTATCCAGTAGCAAAGTTCCCCATGGTATCTTGGTTGAGCAAGCCCATTTCAACAGGAAATCACTGTTCCTTTTGTTTTTTATTAGTTGGACTTGATCACATTTATGACACTTTTCTGGAACTTGGGCTCTGTATTAGTATACCAATGAATACTCATAATTTGTTCCGCTTTGTCCTATAACTGGCCAATTCTGATCTTAATTTCAGAAATCTATGATAAGAAAAGCAGGAAGTATCACCATCTACCTCAATGTCCTATGGCTACAGTCTGAGGCAGACTAAAATGGGAGCAAGTCCCCTTGAAATTAGAAGGCCTTACTTTTGAGTAAATGTGTTTAGGACTGCACTGCAGGAACTCCCATATATTTGTACCAGATATTTATTTATTTATTTATTTACTTACTTACTTACTTACTTACTTACTTACATAGATTTATAGGCTGACTATAATTGCCAAAGCCTTCCTACTTACAATGTAAAACATACCAACAGAGTAAAAACACATTAAAAACCAATTAAAACATAGTGGATTAAACATCTATAAAAACAATTTAAAAGGGCCACAGGATACAGGCTAAACATTCAAAAATCCTAAAAAGATATAACTTTGTAACTGGGTCTTAACTGCTGCCTAACAGAGGATTTCTCATTTTATTTTGTCCCATTTTTTCTTGTTGTATATACAAGGCATCTATTAATAATTTCTTCCCTGTTTTCCAACTGAGTTCAGTATACACAGTTCATCTAAGGACTGTTGGAAGAGCTTTTAAAGGATTATGCCATTTATTCCACCGTAAAGTTAAGGCAGACCAGCCTTTTCTAACAGGGTTCTTCCAGGTGTTTTGCACCACAGCTTAGTCTCCCTGAACATTGGCCATAACGACTGGGGCTCCTGGAAGATGAACAGATCTGGGGGACACCAGGTTGATGGAGGTTGTATTATACTGTGGATGCTGCGTCCATCACTTTCCCACTTAGGAGGAAAAGGCTGTTTAAGCCGCAGTTGCACTATTTTGGCTGTTCTGTGAAATTCCATGTTTTTCCCCTGCATAATGTGGGCCAGTCTTCCCAACTGGCTGCCCTCCAGACGTGTTGGACCCGCCCCCCCCATACTAGCACGGCCAATGGGCACGGGTAGGGCTGGCGATGCTCAGCCACTAGCATCAAACAGCCACCGCTTCTGCCTTCAATTCCATCTGATTGGTTGTGAAAAATGGAGTGGGCAGAGCAAATTTATTCATACTTGCATATAAAATATCAGGGCTGACAAGATAAAAAAGAACATGCAGCAGACTTAAAATGGGAGGTTTAAAAAAAAACAAAGCAAAAGTAGCACATTATGATTTACATTAAAATAACTGCTAAAACATTTATATAAAACAATAAAACACTAAAATTAATTAAAACCAGGGCAACACTCTAATTATAAACAAATGGATTATATTTCAACCGTATATTCAACCATCTACGTGGAACTGCTCTGCCTTATGCTGGCCATGCCGCCTCATTTCAGATCCCCTAAATATCTATTCATGGATTGGCTCTATAAGAGGTAGTGGAGCAGTGCTGACTGGGTCTGAGGGCTCTTCTGTGGAGGGCAGGCCTTGCAGCCAGCCCCAGGGGAGGCATGTAGTGGCCGGGATCTTTTATTTGGCTGCTGTGCAGCAGTGCCTAGTGAATTACTCCGACTGTAGTGATACGTGCAAACCTGCCTTGTTTCTGTGCCAGAAGGCGGCTGGTCCATACCGTAACAAGTGTTGTTGAAACTGAATGGTTATTCACTACTGGTTTTTTTCATCGTTTTAAAGATTTAAAATCCTTTCTTTTTCTTTCAGCTGCATGTGCTTAGAAAAGGTAGCACATAAACGTCTTAAATAAAATTGGAGAGGTTTTGATGAAAAACAGGACCTTTGTTGTTGGATCACATAGAACAGACCTGTTTTTTTATTGCCATTCTTAAACATGTTGAAGTTGTCAAGTTTTATTCCAAATATCTAGATTTTCTTTGGAGGTGTGCAAATAAAAACTATTTTGGGTGTAATGGAGCATTGGAGAGAAGCATAGGCATTTGGCTCCATGCTAGAGGCTGACTGGGCTTGCTTCCACACTGCTAAGGCATTCATTTTCTGTAATGATCTGGAAGTGGAATTAAAACAAAAGCTGAACATTCCTCACTTTACAAGCAAATTATTTCCTAATGCTCCAAATCTTCACTTGTAAGATCCACTCAGCAAAGCTCCACTGCAATGTTAATTAAAAGTTTCCTTGTAATTAACTTCTGTTTATTTCTTCTGCTTGATCTTGGCTGTAGAATGAATAACCTCTTAAGGCACAATCTAATGCATGTTCAGACAGAAAAAAGCCCTACAGCTTCCAACATAACTGACTGGAGCATAACTGGGAGTTGTAGGCCCCTTTTTAATATAAACATACATAGGATTGCATCCTTAATCACCCCAATGTTAGTTTCTCTTCCTGTGGGAGGAGGGTGTGTGAAATGCAAGGGGCTATTCATGATTAATTCCTGGGGCCACAATCAACAGGAAGCAGTAAAACGGACAGGACCTGTAAACCAACGTAGGTGGACAGTAGATTTGGATCTGGGTGGATTGCGCTTGATCAAAATGGTTCCCTGACTTGTTTAAAAATAGTAGCAGCAAAATGACTCTTCCTCCTCTCCCTAAATTATACAGCTGACATGAAAAAGGCTTGCTATAAAGAGGGATGCATTGCAAGCTCCATTCCGTTCTCTTTTCAGAGCAAATCGGTAGCCTCAGAAATCTACGTGAATGTCTTTTGTGCCAAAGGGTGGGTGGGGTATCGCGCTGTAATGATAAAGAAAAGATCCTGCAAACCTTGACTTCTGCCCACTTCAGCTATAAATAGGAACTTTATCACTGAAGGTATCGGTATGCTGAAAAGCCTCAATGGTTCTTGTTAGTCTGCACTGGACAGCCTGGTGCAGAAAATGCAGCTTAAAAATGTGTAAAAATCGCTAGAACTCAAGTCTTAAAAAGACGGATCAGCACAGTGAAGACTCAGTTGCAAAGATATCATGGGCATTGCCTCGGTTTTCTGTTAAAAAAGAAAGAGCCAAGAATAGGTGAGTGTGGAAGCAGCTTGGCTGAATTTGACTCAGGCGTGCCCTTGCAGGGCCACTGAGAGAATAAAATGGGGTAATTGCCCTCCCCATATGCTGGAAGGAAAGATGGAATAAAATATCCAGGAATTTGCGTATTTTCATATATATAAGAAAAAGTAGATTTTCTTGCAGTTGTTTTTATCTTTATATATGCATTATTGTTTTAATGGATTTATATACCACCCTGTAACTTGATCATGAGGAGTGGCATGTAGATATTTTAAATAAACACATAAAAAGAATGTAGCCACATGAGAGCAGGGGAGGCTTTGAAATCTCATGTTTCAATGCCACTCCAGATATATTAGCTTGCTGTTGATCTGCCAATTTGCCTGTTTTGGCTTATAAAATAAAATGCTCTACATTTGTTTCAGAAATAGCCATCACCTGGCAGAAAAGGTACATAGTTCAAGTATCTTCTCTGATCCTTTCCAGAAAACACATCCCAAATGTAAATAGTAATATAATTCTGGTGCGTGACCTTTGTTTGAGATAGGCCCATAGTGCTTCAGTTTTGCGCTCCTCGGGTTTGCTTACTCCTTGAAGACCATTTCTTGCTTCGCAGATAGTTGAAAACCTTCCAAATTACAACCCAGCTGCTGCGTTTGGGTTTTGTAGCTGTGAGCCTTTGAATCTGTATGTACATGTGGAGGAGGAGCAGGCGTGGAAAGGAATTGTTTCCATTTCTAGTGCTAACATCTTGAATTCCTTTTCAATCCTAGGACTGTAAATGGAAAATGTATATGGAGATGGATGGGGAAGAGATTGCGATAACCTACATAAAAGATGTGACTTTTAACACACACCTACCTGATGCAGAGATTTTAAAGATGGCAAAGGTAAGCTTCTGTTTATGGGCTTGCAGCTATCACAACTGCCCAGATCTCAAACAAAAGTATTAAAATACTGCAGCAGGAGACTTTTGTCCCTCTAGAAACTCATTCTGCAGGCAGCTTTAAGACCGACCCCCCCCCTTTTGCAGGCTTCCATCATAATAGATTTTTTGTTAAACATTCCCTTTTCAATTATGCTAATAATGAGGCAATGGGAAGACTTAGACACTATAATTAAAGTGTGTGATTTCTTGGTTCCATAACAAACTCAGTGGCTCATCAGTCAATGCACAGACCAGTTCCAAACATAAGAGTGTTCATCAAGGTGTGCAAGAAAAATAAACGACTGACCATCGACAGCAATTGGTAATAAAATTGGAAACAAGGCAGGGATATTTAGTGTGGCCCACGATTGCCTCAGTTCCTGAGGTCTGGCCAGCATCCATTTTACAGAAGCCTCAAATGCTTTGCCTCGCTGCAGAGTAGCGTAGCTGCTTCAGGATGGGTGACTTCTAGTGCTGACCATCCCTGTTCCTGCACTGAAAGCTGCAGAGGGTTCTCAGGTTTGGAGCACCAGTGAGCCATAAAGAGCCATTATCTTTACAAAAGATCTGATGGAAACTGGAATCTTGCACCAGGAGTCTAGCAGAGTTCTGACTGAATTTTCCAAACCCGTTTTCCAAAAGGGAGCAGGAAGGATAGGTTTTTGTTCAGTTGCAAAGTCGTGTCCAACTCCTTGCGACCTCATGGACAGCATTCCTCCAGGCTCTCCTGTCCTCCACCATCCCCCAGAGTATGCCCAACCCCACACCCATCCAGTGACCCCATCCAGGCACCTCAACCTCTGCCATCCCCTTCTCCTTTTGCCTTCAATTGTTTGCCGTACAGGGGCACCCAAGATTGTTTTGCCGTGCAAGGGGCACCAAGGTCATAGCAGGGAGCTCTGACAAAAGGTGATCCACTGGAGAAGGAAATGGCAACCCATTCCAGTATCTTTGCCATGAAAACCCCATGAATAGAATCAGAAAGATAAAAGGAAGGATAGGTATCCATATTCTCTTGTAATTCCCTCCCTCCTTCCTTCCTTCCTTCCTTCCTTCCTTCCTTCCTTCCTTCCTTCCTTCCTTCCTTCCAGTACTTCAGCATTTGAAAGTACAACACTTATGCAGGTCAGTGAAGGACAGGGCAGTTAACCATTGGATCTGGAACCTTCCGTACGACCTGCAATTTGAGCTGACTGGCCTTTGCTACAGCCTGAAGGACCTTCGGGATACCTGCTCTGGCCTGCAGATGCAAACTGGCCTCAGTTCCACTTCCACCTACAACTTTAATGCTGCAGAGTTGTCACCCTAACCGAGAAAATGGACTGTATTGACATTGGCAGGACACTTTTAAAATACATGCTTAAAATCCTCCCCTCTGTGACAAAAAACCCCCACCACATATTTTCCATATCAAATAAGCCCTTAGTTAAAAGAATCATGAACTCCTGTGTTTACTGCTCCATTTAGTTTCTATGTGGACAAAAAGCTGCTCAGTGACAGTGATGCTAAAACCCTGGATTTCTCCATTGTTTTCAATGGGCAGGTCTCACTTCCACCTCAGGGAGCAGAAAAGAGCACTATCAAATGGAGTCATGGCATTCTGCTGCCTGACCTTTGGATTCTCTTTCTACTCTTTTCCTATCTCCAACGGTTTCCTTCTCTAGCACATGACATTATCCACGATGTCCCTTATTTCTAATCAGCTTGCCACAAATTGCCTTTCACTCTTGTGAATTATATGAATTGGCCCACATGACCAGGGAAATGATGATCTTTTCCTCTTCGGCTGACAGCTGCGTACTAAAGGATAGCATCCGGTAAAATTAACAGAATTTCTTTATGATTCAGGTGTGTGTTTGCCTGTCAGGGAGTATATTCCTTCTGCTTGCTTTTGGATTCCAAAGATGTGCTTAGCATTAATGAGGGCTTTATTTTTTGAAATTGACCAGGCTTCAGAACCTAGCTTTGGAAGGGGGTACATTTTTACTCCCACTTGAGCTTTCCCAGTCTGGAGGCCTCCAAAGGTGGCAGACTGCAGCTATCAGAATTCCCAGGGGGCATTGCCAGGCCCAAGATATGGACACTGCAGTAACACCCAAGTGGAGCACCAGAAAAGCTGGTCCAAACCCTTAGTACTGTCCAAGTGTGGGTCTGGTCCCTTATATCATTGCAAGGCAAAGGAATCTGCTTTTAACCATATTTTGAAATACCTTCTTTACTTTTATGGCTCAGTGAAATGTACATGTAATTTCAGAAACCCATTGTTCTAATTTACTGCACCTCCACATTAAACCTTCAGAGCTTTCAAACACTCTGTTCTCTACATTACTGATGACATTTCAAGCACTTTGTTAAAAAAAAAAGACATTGAGGCGTCCCCTGATTTTTTTTTTTTTAAAGTTAAGGTAGTGATAAGCAATACCTACATTCTGAATGTTTTAAGGGAACTGGCTGTAGATACCAGTGAAGAAGGTAGTTAGACATCCCTTGTTAGTTCGGTGTCTACCAAAGGAAGACTAAAGACTCAATCCATGCAAAGTTAGGCAGGAAAAAATGCCTACAGTTCCCACCATCCCCAGCCAGGGCTTTATCTGTCTAAACTTGCCCCAATATGCACATTGCATGCTGGCCATCCTTCTGAAGCTAGGGCGGAGTGGTGGAAAATGTGCACAACTATTGCCCAGTGGTGCCTGGTCAGCATCACATTCTAGGGCTAGAGACGGGTGGAGGCCAGTGACAAGCGGTGCCTATTTTGTGTGCCGGCTGCTGCAGCGATGCAACACACAAGGCCTGCTTCGTCTTGCCTTGCCCTGGCATGATGCTCGCTTGCGCCCCACGTTGTCTCAGAGACCAGTCTGCAACTAGACGAGCCCCCAGGTCCGTCCCATGCCAGTTACCGCCAGAAGATGGCTTGTCGCACGGCCCAAGCTAGAGCACAGAGCAGCCCTCACAGGCTGTTCCCGCAGTCCTGGAGGGGGTTTATTTGTATGTGGGATTCGAGCCAATAGGCCGGCAGGCCTGAGAGCCTGGGCCGGCCCAGAGCAGCAGGCAGAGAGGGCTGCTCCCGCCACAGGGCTTTTCTGCATCCTCATGCGCACGCGCCTGGCAAAAGACCCCTCCAGGGGCCAGAGGCAGGGCCTGGCCTGGGGGCTGCAGGAGCAGGGCGAGAACCGAGGAAGCCGGCAGCTTGTGCAGACCAGGATCCAAGCCCGGGGTCAGAGCTCGTGTCTTTTGCGTTCTGCAGTTGCAGCCCAGCAGATGTGTTTGGCTGGCTGGTGTACCTTATTGGCAGCAGTAATACACTACAAGGTTGTATGCTGGTTGCATAAAAAACAGTAGAGGCGTGGCCAATGTATGGTAGTGAAAAGTCAGCAGAATAAGGGAAACTTTAGCTGAAGGAGTGGCCCAGTAACACCTGGTGTATAGTGTTCATGAATAAAATTACACTGTTCAAAGAAGTGCATCCAGGAAGTAAGAAAACAGCTAAGTTGTTACACCGCTGGCAACTGTATAGCGCATTGTGCAATCAAATTAATGCACTCACAGATTTTATCAGGATTGGAATAATGGAAGATGTGCAAATCAAACCAGACATTATGGACTAGCTTTTGTGCTTTGTCTTTTATTGTTTTCATTTGTTTGGGGGTTTTGTTTTATAGGGTGGACATTGAGATGTTCTTGGGTGATCAGTAAAATAGACTAAAAAACATTAAAACCAGTAAAAGCTTGATTTCTTTCTTGCAGCCACCATTTGTGATGGAGAAATGGATTGTGGGAATAGAAAAAGATCAAACTGTGGAATGTATAGTGACTTACGAGGTATGTGTCTTGCGGGAAAAAAAGCAGTTTGCTCCTTCTGTCCATATAGCATCATAACGAGGAATGGCCAGATACTGTAATTAATTTTAAACTAACAACTGCTCATACAAATCTGAATACTGTCTTCAGGAACCATGCGCAGGTTCCTAGCTGCGAAAGCTTGCTCCCTTAGGTTTAAAAAAAGTTACTTTTTTCTTTGAGTAAAGGTCGGTGTAGGTGGTGTTTGTTGAAGAGACCCTCTTTCTTACCTTTTTGGCAAAACGCTAATTAGCAGAGCAGAGGAACAACAGGAGAAGGGAAAGGGGTGAGAAAGAAAACATGAAATAAGACCTAGAAGCAATTTAGCTATGTATAATAGGATGGAAATTAGCCTTTGTATGAGTAGGTTTTTGGATACTTACAAAAAAGTGTTTCATAAAGACCAATGGGATATTTCACACTGAGGCCAATAATTGAAATTTCAGCTCTGTCCTGTGGCATGGATTCAAGCAGTGAGCGAGCAATATAGGAAAATTCTGGCCCTCGTGTGCCTCAGAAGTGAAGAACAGTCGCTTTCTGCTAACAGGAAAAATAACCGTAGGTCCCTTTCAGACTGTAGCTCCTCACAGGAATCAGAGCCTGACAGCAGGATGAAAGGGCTTGTGACTGTAGGCAAGCAGCCGCGAGGGATCCCAGCAACAGGTCGTCCTTGGTGCGTACTTTTGCTAGCAGAAGGCGTTATTTACTGAAGCACCACACGATTGCCCAATTACTAAATGGCTCTGTTCAAAGCTGGCCATTAAAATACTGCCTTTGTGCAGTGTACTTTTTGGCGGGTGGGGCAAGGAGGAGAGAAAGTGTCGCTTGCCATGGGTGCACCACTCACACATCCTTTGAGGTCAGATGGTGGAGGGAGGGCATCAAAGCAACCCCGCATACCAGTTGATGGCAGCCTTGATGTCGCCACGATCAGTTCAGCCCCTGGATACCTGTTGTCTGAGCATTGTGGAGTTCCCCGCGTCCCTTCGAAGTGACAGCTGACTTGGGTCTTTTTCACAGAGCGATGTCAGATCCCCCAAATCCACCAAACATATCCAGCCGATTCAGTGGAGTAAAGTGAAACTTCAGGATGTGGTGATGTCCGTACAGCTCCATATACAGACTCTGCTCCTGAACTCGGAAAGCAACCAGTTGAGCAGCTCCAATTCCAGTAAGTCAAAAAGGACAAAGTTTTGCAAAAGAACATTGGAAATCTGTACAGACTCCGATATATCTTCAGTAATTCAGCAAAGGCTGAAAGTGCTCCACAGAGGGAACAGGTCGCTTGTACACTTAATGGGTAGAAACTGTTCTGCCTTCATTAATTCAGAATTCTCTCTGCTCATACTTCTTAACTTGTCCATCCTACAGAATAAGCAGCACCATTTTTGTGCCTCAAAGACCTTGCCAAGGTCTGATCTAAGCAATGGCAGTAGAAAATTGCAATGCTCTACATAAATATGTGGTGTGTTGTTCTGGTTTGACTTTGGGCTACAGGTTTGAGTGACCTCAAGAATTCAGTAAGCTAGGTCCAAGGATTGCTTTTCTTGAAAAGACAGGCAAATTACTCCAAAACGCTAGCATCTCAAAGGGTTCAGCAAGCCAAGCTCTGGCAATGCTCAGCATGAACCTGCCAGGTAAGAGCTGCCAACCTCTAAGAGGGTCAGCAAAGCCCCTCAAGGGTGTTTGGTGTCTGAACAACCCCCTAAGGGAAATTGCTAGCCTTTAATAGCCTACTAGAGGGAAAGGGGCAGGGACTAGGCAGCCTGCATCCACCTGTTTACCTTATCACCAAGCCCAACTGTATACTTTAGGTAGCTTCCTTCATTGGACTCTACGAAGGATGAAGGTTCCCATCCTCGTTAGCCAGCCGCAAGTCATAACACCTGAGGTTTTCCATGAATGTCAGTGGTACAAGGCACGAGCTCGTTAAGCTAATCGTAACACCAAGCAGAAGCTCATTAATTGGGCTGATAAGATGGGATTCCTGGCCAAACACAGCTACATGTTTAATCCTTTGGCCATCTTTCCCAGGGTCTTTGGAAAACAACCCCTGCTAAGGTAAGCAAGAGGTAACTCTGCAGCAGCATTGGCACTCATGCCAAGCAAGGCCTAATACTTTCTGAGGCTAGAGACCCAGGCCCTGATTTTTACAGCTCAGGCCCAACACATGTGTGAGAGTGTATGCAGATACTAATCTGTCCAGGATCTGCCCAGTGAAAGGGGTGAATAAAGTCTTGCATCATTATCATGAATTAATAACTGCAATTTGAATTGTCCAGCCTCCCCAGTCTGGTGCTTTCCGGATGTGTTGGTTGATCACGCTTCTAATCCTTAGCTAGAGCACACCAGATCCAGTCTAGACTCCCTGCTAAAGGAGACAGTTCAAAGAAAGGCCCAAGGGTGATTCCATGCAATGGCTATTGGTGGAATAAAAATGTGATCAATAAATGCACCTATATAGCTGCACTCTCCTTGGGTTGACACACATGCACACACATCACTGTGGTTGCTCAGGCAAACTGGGAGTTGTGGCAGCTGCGTTTGAGTGGGAGGAACATCCCAGAGCCCGGGTCTCTTGCGTTGCCTTCCGGACACAAGAGACCTCGACCACAGCCTGGAATTCCACACTGATGCTGCCCTTTGTTTTGCTTCAGGTGTCGACTGTCAGTGGATTAACGCTGTGAAATTGCGGCACGTGTCCAGCAGCCCTTCCCTGCAACGTCCCCGGCCCCGCAGTCCCAACTTGCTGCCGTACCTCCAGCACCAGGACACCTACGCTGCTGCTGTGAGACGCAACAAGGTCCCCATAAGCTACCAGATCACCCCCCTCAACCAGTCGAGGAGCTCCTCTCCGACAATGTACCTCTCATCTTTGCATTTGAATTCCAAGGGAAGCAGCACCTCCAGTGCTGCTTCTGACAGCCCCTCCGAAGGAGACCAGTCCAAAGCGAGGAGCCGGAGCAGTTCTCACGGCAGCATTCCTCACCGCTGGCCCGCCCCTGGAAGGCGGTTTCCCAGGAGCCAGGGAGGGGCTCAGGCAGCAGCGAGGAACACTGAGAAATTCCACAGGACTTCCCAGCCAGCATTCGGCCAGAACCAGCACCTGTCCAGGTCACATGATAGAAAGCAAGGCCATTTCCCGCAGCAGCCCAGGTTGATACCGGGGATGCCTGTGAAAACTGAAAGTACACCCAAAAGAGAAGGAGAAGAAAGCAGGGCTGGAGAAGGCGGGTGGATAAGAGTCGATCATTCCAAGAAATCTCATCGGCAAAGTGTTGACAAACGAACTAAAGAGAAGTCGAGAGGAAGCGGAGCATTCCAGAGATCATCCCATTGATGCCTTGCCTTTTGAGAAATAGGCTTTTTTTTTTATTGAACAGAACATTGAGTCTCAGTGGGGAAATCTTAAGATATTTGACATTAATATCTGGCCTATGATGGGAATCTTGTTGAAACATAAAGGCACTACCCCTGATGGATTCTGTACTGCATTTCCACACCGAGTGCAGCACGGGCCTTCCGGCACTGGAGCCTCCGTTTCTGGTGAATTTCAGCATGCCACAGGTTCTCGTTCCTTGTTTTGTCTGGCTCTGTTTCTGTGGCCATAGCTCCGTGGCAGAGCCCCTGCTTGGCATGTAGAAGTTCCCGGATTCAATCCTTGGCATCTCCAGGTGCGGCTGGGAAAGAATCCTGGAGAGCCACTGCCAGTCAGGGCTGGCAATACTGGACTCAGTCCTAGGCCTAGATACTCAATACTGTGGACCTGCTCCTAGATCCATAAGCGTTAAAAAAGAAATCACTGCGCATTATGGTTTCAGATCCAGGACTGACACACTCCCACGCAAAGCTGAAACCTGCGTGTGGCATCTGGAAAACGGGACCGGAAAGGTTATCCTTTCTTACTATGCAGCTCTTGTATCCCATCCATCTAAGTGATGTGGAACATAAAGCTCTCTTTCAGAACATAGCCATAGATATTTTAATCAGAATTATTCTTAAGATCAGTATCATAGTTCTACAGAGATTGAAGAAAATAATAGTAAGAAAATAATCCTTGATGGCTTTTATTTTTTTATGACTATTTATTAACGTATGACACACTTTCTGTTCACTGTATTATTATGTTGCTATGTGCCATCAATTTGTCTCTGACTTACGGTGACCCTGTGAATGAAACCTCTCCAAATGTCCTCTCTATGACTTCCCTGTTTGGCTGTTCTAAGCACAATACAGTACAACTCATTGTATTTGTATTGCACTCAATTGTTTATGTTTTTTAGATAATAAAGAAAAACTATTGTACTCAGAGTATGTGCTGAAATTCCACTGAAATTCTTCTGGGCTAGGATTCTTTTAAAATGGGAATTTTGATCAAATTTACTAGGGTTAGTCCCTTTGCATGAAATAGTCCTTTCAGCTGAAACAAACATGCTCACGATGATGTTAGTCTGTTGCTCCAGTTAGATGGCTCCCATTCTTTTCAGAACCCTGCAAAACCCTTTTACCTGATTGTCCCTTACAAACAGGAAAGGTAACAGCTTAAGCGTCGGTTTTCTTTTAAAAATCTTTTGTTTGGCAAACTAGGCACAATTAACTTCGATGCTGCAAATTGGCCTTCTCTTCTTAGAATAGAAAACAAAACCATAGATGACCATCTTCTGTGTCAAGGTTTCCTCTGTGTTGAAGGCCTGTCCAGACTTAAAAAAGAAGGACCAAGGGAAGGGAGATCAGAGGATCTTGAAGTTGTCCATCAGCCATGAGCAGCTGAACATTAGATTAAGCAGACACACAAATTATCTAGTCATAGCTTTGCCCACTGTAGCAAGATGCAGTTCTATATGAACTATAGTCATTATTTCTCAGCATACACCTATAAAATGAATTACTACGTTTTGTTTTGGTGTAACCCAGGCACTATCCAGTGGGGCTGTTGCCCACCAGTTCCACTGCACAAGCAAGACCCATCACGGCAAAGATTTAATGCTTCCTATAGAAAGCCCTGACATGGGCAGTGATGTTGTTTCTGGATTGGGATGGGTCAGTGGAGCCCTGCTGGCCAGCCCTGTTCCAAAAGTCTTTCCATTCATTTCTGATTGGTCCAGAAAGCACCAAATCTCCATAGCAGCACCAGTGGGCCCAGCTTGAGGGGGAAAAATCAGAATCAATGGCCGCAAAATGTTCCTTTGGATAACACCCCCTCCACATCCTCTTTTGTCCTTTTTTTTGTGTGATACGTAAGGAGCCATTTCTCCTTTGGTGCACTTCTTCCTGGGAAGCAGGGGTGGCTCCTAGCAATAACAAGGAATGCGAGTTTCCCTGCTATCCCATTCAGTCCCCGACTTGTAGTCCCAGGTGCCAGTTCAGATGGAATGAGAAGCCACCACTACTGAAGTTCCCCATGGGTGCTTTGTTGAAGCAGTGCCACCATTTTGAATATCCTGGGCATGCTGGAGCATGAGATAGCTTCTCGGTACATGTGAGTGAGGCATGGGTGGATAGTTGGGGAAGTCAATGAACTACCAGCAACCCCCAAACAGCCTGTGTTTTTTGGATATCTTGTTAGCCCCTCCAACAATCCACCTTGCCAGGTTTGTATGTAACAAGAAGCTACATGTGCCTAAAATGTTCAGGTATGGTGCTTTTCCTGCAGCAAGAAATTCCATGAGGAAATTAACCCATGTTGCATGCAATTCAGGTTCATTTATTAAGGTTCCCCCCCACCCCACCCCATATGGCTATAATCCTTATTCCCCTAATTATAGCCTTCTCAGCCCTTTTTGCTTCCCCAGAAAAGCTAGGTTTTTTCTGCAATTATTTCATCCATTACGCTACAGCATTTTTATCCTCAACTAAAATGGCTCCCATGGAGCCCTACAGATCCATAAAACAGTGTTGGTACACCCAGCACTTCAAGCCACTTTGGACTAATCTCCTTTCAGTAACCTTTCCCCGGCATCACTCGCCTCCTGGCCTTGCCTTCTCTCTTGAGCTAAGGTGACTCTTGGCTCTTGTCCAGCCAGCTTCACCTTCTTCCGCAGGTGTCTCATGCCTTCACCTTCCTTCTTGTCCCTCTCCACTGCCTTTCTCACCTCTCCCCCTTCCTTTTGTATCTGCCTGCCTTTGCGTCCTTCTACCACATTCCTCCTCTCCAAAAGCCACACTGCTATGCATACCGGCCTCCAGCCCTTCCCCTGCCTGCCTCCTATCACTTTTGCCCATTTTGCCCAAGTCCAGGCCGTTACCAGGCTAGATTGTCAACTCTGAATCTGCAGCTGGCCTTTTTTAAGTGCCATGGACAGGCAGCTTCCAAATATGGCTTAGCATAATTGGATTATGGGGAAAAGAAAAGGGATAATTATGAATGTTTTGAGTATGGCTGAGTCTGACCAATATTTTTTTGAAGAAGCAGCCATCCTGCAAATGGATCATCTTGCTGTTGCTGATTATCCAGATACCTGAATGGATTCCTTTGCCATTTTGTATGCAATTAAATTCTGTGCCTGATTTTGATCTACACTACACCGTGTGTCCATATCGGCTTTGTTAATGCAGTAATTAACACTGAAAGGCGAAGCCGACAGTCTTGATCACTCATTAAAATGGAACAATCATACAACACTGATTGGCTAGAAATCATACTCCTTCACTGGTATCAAAAAACTGAGCAAAAGAAAAGACAATATCTGTGGACGAGGGAAACAGGGATGGATAGCACAATAGAAAACTGCTATATTCATAATTAGACAATAATTTTGAAATGGGATAGAATGGACTTACATGAACTATCTCCAGTTTCAGAAGGATTTCAGAAAGTGCTGCTTGCCATGCTTTCAAGGATTAGAAATTGTATTTATTTTTATGTACTGTACTTTTAAGCTGCCCAAAAGCCAAAGTTATTTGGGAATGTGCATTAAAACATACAATTAAAACATCTAAACAAAAAATAAGAGACCAGAATAAAAATAAGATTAAAACCACCCGCAAAGAATAAAGCCACCTCAGCATATAAAACCAAATTAAATCTACCAACATAATTACTAACAGCGCTAACACACTAAAACTTGTTCTCAAAATGCCTGGGAGGATTTTTTAAAGTCTTCCCCTGGCACCGTAAAGACCACAATAGAGCCATCAGACGAACCACTCTGCAGGGTATCCACAGATGGTGCCAACACAGAAAAGGTCCTCTCACTCCATTTATTATATTATATTATTATCATTATGTATTAAATTTGTTTGAGAGCTTCCTATTAGCAGCATGCTGTCTGGGCAGCCATTACAATAAAATACAAATAAAATAGCATGCCATCTTTCCTTTTGCAAGAAACCTTGGGTGGCTGACCTGGTCCTCCTGCTCTCCATTTTATGCTCAAAACAACCAGGCAGAGAATTGGTGAACGGCCCACAGTCACCCAGTGAGCTGCATGGCCGAGCGAGGCCTGGAACCCGGTTCTTCTCAGTTCTCGCCCATCATCCTAAGCAGTACACTACGCTGCTTCCTGTAGCCACCTGGTGGTGCTCCTTACAGGAAGCCTCACACAGAGATCCGATTGTCTGTGGCGGTATATATGGGAAGAAGCACTCCTTCAGGGAAACCTGGCCATATACTGTTCAGGAGTATGAGTAAAACCAGCAGTTTGAACTGGGCCTTGCAATGGACTGGCAGCCAGTGCAGATTAAGAAGTATTGGCACAAAATGATTACATTGGACAGTCTCTGTAAGACTACTTTGGACAAACAGGCCTATTTTGGACTAGCAGCCATTTCCACACCATTTTCAAAGGCATCCTCATTGTAATAACCCACATGGGATATTAAAAAAAACTACACACAATCATTTCCCTCTTTTTATACAAGTGTTTTAAGGTGCTGGGGCTCACTCCTCCTCTGATCCCCAGGCATACCAGTGCTCCCTGATGTGGAAAGGCCGCTTCAGACTGGTGTTCACCTGACTGAACAGTCTTCTGAATGGATCAGCAGATGTGAGCTTTCAGGTAAATAGCACCATTGGAGCTTAATTCACATGAAAAACAGCACGAGTGGAAAGGGCTAACTTGATCCACATCCAGAGCTAGTCCTACTCCTCCACATGCCCTCTGCTTGTCAGAGTTTAGAGAGACAGAAATCCCAAACCTCTGTGGTCTCACCTCATTTGTCCCTGAATGCCTGGCCTTTGCATCACATGCAAGAAGCAATTTTACTAGCGGGGCTGGTCCCTTGGGGCAGAGCCTCTGGCTTTGTAACTGCCAGTGGAGTTTGGCATGAAAACGAGTCAGGCTTGCTTCATCTGGCATGTGGAGTGCCAGTTCAGGCCTCGACCGGACTTTCAGACAGCAGCGAGAGAGAGTCACGTACCACCCCAAGGTGCCCCTTCTCCATCAAGTCCTTGAGATGTGCTCCTGTCAGGTGAGGAAGGAATGCCACTAGCACAAGCCTGTGGTCCCCCAGTTCCTCTTGGCCTCGCTTCTCACCTGGTCCTTGATGGCAGCCTGCCCCGGAAGAACGATGAACAATGCAATGCTGTGGGGACAATGTGCTGACATGTCATTGTCTTCCAGGTTTAATTGGACTGGATGGGAGGGCGCTTTTGTAACCCCTGTGAAATACTGGTACAGCTCAAAGGGGCGGGACTAAGAAAGAGCCAGACTGTAAGAAATACAAATCAAAAAGAGCAGGAAAGCTGAAGAGGCAGGAGGGGCTGTTGCCACTAAGGCCCTTGCTGGCTTGCTCTGGGTATAATTCCGACATGTTTGTGCTGGAGGGGTGAAGCCACATAATAAATTCATGTATATACAATAGAATTGGCATTTTATCGTAAGGTTTGGAAGATTCTGTGCATGGAGATGATTCTTCTGTGTTGTGGATACTCAGACCAGTGGAAGAGGACATTTGGAATATTTTGTTTGAGTTTGGACTCAAAAGGACACTTGAACCCCTCAGCTCTGCAGCCATATAGTGTATTGGTGCTGTTGCCAGGGTCTTGGGTGCACGGGTTGCAGTATTTCGTATTATAGTTGTTTGTGCTGTTTTGTTGGTCGGAAGAGGCTCATTTTATATGTAAGGCTGTGTTGCAATGTTCATTGGTAAGCAAATAGCCCTATAGAACTTACTGGTGTTGCATTCTGTAGATGTTTTTTAATTAGCAACGTGGCACATGCAGAGGCAAGAGTCGGTTACTGCTTCTGTCAAGAATCTAAATATGGAAGGAGTGGTAGACCCCACTCCCCCATTTATAGGGGTGTTGTTGTTAGTGTGGTCAGTGCCTATGCTGAACCACCATCTTGCCAAAATGGCTCCTTTGCAGGAAA